TGATCCTTGATCGCAGGGCTGTGGAGGAGCTGCTGCGCCGCGGCGCGGACCCCAATCTGGTGCTAGCGGACGGCGCGGCAGCTGTCCACCTGGCGGCAGGAGCCCGGCACCCACGCGCTCTGCGCTGCCTCAAGGCTCTGCTGTGTCGAGGCGGGAACCCCAACGTGCGGTGAGGCGGGGCTGGGCTCTGAGCGGGGCCTTCCGCGTAGGGAAGGGGGCTCCCCAGTAGGAAGGCGGGGTCTCCACAGCCGGAAGGCGTGGCCTCGGAGTCCCGGAGTGTGCATCCCACGTTCCAAGGGTGGGGATTCGGCACCCCAGGGAGGAGCTTGTGGAACTAGGGGAGGGATCCTGAGAGCCCAAGGGCGGGGGTCCCAGAATGAGGGTGAGGGATGGGGTTGCGCTCGGGCCGAAATGGGGATCGAAGATTCGGGTCCAGGGGTGGAATCTCTAGGGTCAGAGAGCGGAGATTTGAGTCCCAGGCCGAGGGCGTAGGATCTAGGTTCCGAGGGTGTCTCGGGCTGGAGGGTGGAGATGGGGGACAGAATCCGAGGACACCCCTCGGCTCCTGCCCCAGATCGGCCGAGGCGCTGACACCGCTGCACGTGGCCGCCGCCTGGGGCTGTAGCCGCAGCCTGGAGCTGCTGCTGAGCCAGGGAGCCGACCCCCGGCTGCTCGACCAGGTGAGGGGCCCTGGCGGAGCGGAGGGGCCGACCTGGAGAGCGGGAGGAAGCGGGGAAAGAGGGCTTGGGTGCCCCCTGGTGATCGCGCCGCCCGCAGGATGGACTCCGGCCACTGGACCTGGCAGAACAGCAGGGGCACCAGGACTGTGTGCGCGTCCTCAGGGAGCTCCCAAAGCTGACTAGGACCCCTGCCCGGACCCGGTTAGAGACCCAGGAGCCGGAGCCTGAGCCCAGCGGTGAGTGAGGCCTGTGCGGAGACAGCGGCTTGGCCTGGGGACCAGCTGATCGTGTCTCTCACTGATTTCCACCGTCTCCCGCTGGTCCTGACTGTCTCACGTCCAGTGCCTCTGGTCAGCTCTCGCCTTCATTCATTCTGGGAGCATGGAATCCGCTGAAACCCCCACCCCTCCCACCTGCTCTCTGACCGCCAACTCTCATCCTCTGCTGCAGGCTCAGCCCTCAAGGGAAAGGGGCTGGATGCCAGCCCCTCTGGACCTCCCAGTGTGATGCTGGACTCCACAGGCCTGGGCAGCAGGGACAGCAGGGACAGGGACCTGGAGGCTAGCCCTGGACCCTCCAGCCTCCTCCCCTGCCCTGAAGTTGCTGACAAGGGTGGCGGCTTGGAGTCCTCCCCTGGGTGCTGGGACTGCAGCTCAGATGCCTCCTTTGTCACAGCAGTGGAGGCTTCTGGATCCCAGGACCCAGCCCCGCATACATACCCCCGGGCTGGGCCATCGCCCAGGCAGCAACTCCTGCCTCATCTCCGACCATCCCAGAGGAGGCTAAAGTCTCCGGACACCCCACAGCCGGAACATGGAGCCATCGTGACGGACAAGGAGGCCGAATTAAAAGCCCTCCTACAGGCCCTGACTCTGACCTCCCCCTCCCACACGTCCCCAGAGAGGAGCCCAGCCCACAGCCCCCCTCCGCAACCACTGCTTGGACCCCTCGACTTCCACTTCCTCACAGATGACCAATCGTCCCTGGACAGTGAGGGGGACACCCTCTGGCTGACGGAGGACGAGGTGCATCCCACAGGGGGCAGGGACCCAGTGCCCTCTGGTGGGTGTCTGCCAGTCATGTCTGACCGGGAACTGCTGCAGAGGCTCCGGGCTCTGGGTGAGAGCCCAGGCCCCGTCACGCCCTTCACCCGTCCACGTTACCTCCGCCGACTCCAAGAAGCCCAGGCTGCTCCCGGTTAGTCCCTTCCGGGCACCTGGAGACTCCTGGCTCTCCGTGCCCCTTTTCTCTTCATCTCTGGGAACCACCCCTTCCTCCGTTTCTCTTGACTCAGTTTCCCCTCCCAGGCCCAGACTTTTCAGGGCACAGCCCAGAGCTGACTGAGGCCCTGAGGACAGGCCGAATCCCAGACGCCCAGGCAGATGAGGATGCACTTGCCCAGCAATTTGAGCAGCCGGATCCCCGCAGAAGGTGGCGGGAGGGGGTGGTGAAGTCCAGTTTCACGTATCTGCTGCTGGACCCCAGGTACTCCGAAGTGGGAGCTGGGCGTTCTGGGGTTGGTTCCTACATACTGCAGGTCCTCAGAGGGGAACTGGCCCCTCTCTCTGGTCCTAAGCTTCATCTAGAAAAGGCAATTGGAACTAATTCAAGCCACTGAGTGCCTTTGGGCGCTGCCTCGTAAACTGTGGGTCACTGGATGTGGGTTGTATAAGCCCTGTGACCTTAGAGAGTTTCTCTAGGGCTGCTCTTGGCACTTTTTCCTCTTTGAGCCAACCCTTTTCACCCAGGGTGACTCGGAACCTGCCGGCACGAGCCTCCTCGCTAACTCCAGCTGAATGCCTTCGGACTTTCGTCCACGCCATCTTCTACGTGGGCAAGGGAACCCGGGCCCGGCCCAATGTTCACCTCTGGGAAGCCCTTGGCTACCGTGGGAGGTCAGGAAAGCAGGTATGAAGACAAGTCCCAGGGTCAGGGCAGGGACAGCCGGGCCGTGGGCAGGTAGAGGAAGGAGGGAATTGGGAGGCAGACCCCTGACCTTGCCCCGGCCCCCTAGGCCTGCCCCAAAGTGCGCCAGATCTTGGACATTTGGGCCAGTGGTCGTGGAATCGTGTCCCTGCATTGCTTCCAGCATGTGGTCGCTGTGGAGGCTTACACTCGAGAGGCGTGTCTTGTGGAGGCTCTAGGTGGGTGCCTGGCTTGTGGGGGGAAGGGTCACAGGAAGGGCACTTGCTCTACCAATTCCCTCACCCCTGCCCTCTCAGGGCTGTTAATTGGTTCAATGAGCAATTATTGAGCACCAGTGATGTACCTGCATATGCACGTATTTTGCTCCATGGGTTTATACCTGCTTAAGGGGAATACACAGTGGGTTCACTGTCACATTTCTCTACCTGGAATTCACTGAGGCTACCCCTGTGACCTCACTCCCAATCTCTCCAGGGATCCGGACACTGACCAACCAGAAACAAGGACACTGCTATGGAGTGGTGGCGAGCTGGTCACCCAGCCGCCGCTGCCGCTTGGGAGTGCATCTGTTGCATCGCGCCCTCCTTGTCTTCCTGGCTGAGGGCGAGCGAGAGTTGCGACCCCAAGACATCCAGGCCTGTGGCTGAGCACTGGGAAATTGCCCATCCGGGCTGGGTGGAGGTCAGGGTGTTTGAATGTTCCAGCTGCCCTGTGCTGAAAGCAGCCTTCTACCTCCAGTTCTAGAAGGCCGGGGGTGGGGGGTGGGGGCGGGGGGATGAGAAGCAGGGAAGACCTCCCCCTCAAGCTAAGGGAGGGCTCTGTTACAGATGGAACTGCTGGGGAGGTAGTGAACTCCCCATGATGGGAGGAGAACAAGTGGACCAGAAGGTTCTTTGAAACATTTGGTACTTTTTTTTTTTAAATATATTTTATTGATTTTTTACAGAGAGAAAGGGAGAGAGATAGAGAGTTAGAGACATCGATGAGAGAGAAACATCGATCAGCTGCCTCCTGCACATCCCCCGCCGGAGATGTGCGCGCAACCCAGGTACATGCCCTTGACCGGAATCGAACCTGGGACCTTTCAGTCCGCAGGCCGACGCTCTATCCACCAAGCCAAACCGGTTTCGGCGAAACATTTGGTACTTTGGAACGTGCCAGGGCTTTGGCACTTGGGCCTGTCTGTGTAGACAAAGTCCACTAGGATCTTCCAGGCACAGGGGGCCCACACTCTGGGCTGGGAGCTTCCTCAGCTACATGAAGGGAAGCTACCCAGTTCAAGAGCTGAGTCCTGCTGCTGCCAGATGTGGTACCTCACACCAGTCACATGTCTGTCTGAGCCTCAGTGTCCTCAGTAGGGACAGTGAGGTCCTGCCTCAGGGGATTGTGGGGATTGGATGGGACTCAGAGCCCTGCCCTGAGCCAGAGGTGACCCAGGTGGAACGTCTCCTGGGTCAGGGCAGTGCCCTGAGTTCTCAAGGTGCCAGCTGTGTCTGGTGATAGGCCAGGGCTAGGGAGCTGGCGGGTTGTGGGTATAAGACACCATCCCTGGGGGCCACTGTGCAACGCCAGCTTCCTGGCACTGCTTCTCTGAGCCTGTTTCTGCCACCATAAAATGGGACCAGTAGCCGAAACCGGTTTGGCTCAGTGGATAGAGCATCGGCCTGCGGACTGAGAGGTCCCAGGTTCGATTCCGGTCAAGGGCATGTACTTTGGTTGTGGGCACATCCCCAGTGGGGAGTGTGCAGGAGGCGGCTGGTCGATGTTTCTTCATCAATGTTTCTAACTCTCTGTCTCTCTCCTTTCCTCTCTGTAAAAACTCAATAAAATATATTTAAAAAAAAAAAATGGGACCAGTAACCCCAGGTTCTGGTGGTGCTCTGTGATTGCAGATTAGTCACATCTGCAAAGAGTTTCAGTAAGATGCCAGGCTGTGGTGCTGGTGCGGTGCTGCGGGATCATTTAAGTTCTCCAGAAGTTGTTTCTTCGGAGCGTCCAGTGTGTTTAGGGACTTGGGGAAATCGGCTGCCTCATTGGCTTCACTGTCTCCTCCTCATTGCAGCTTTGGCTAACCACGTTCTGTAGGCCGACTCTAACCTGGACGGAGGTTCCCCACTTAGGTTCCTCCACTTTAGAGCCCATGGTGCGACCCCCTCACCCCACCCCCGCTTCCCTCCCAGCCTCCAGAGGGGGCCTGGGCTCCCCCATTCTAATGGAACTGAAGGAACTTCTCTGAGCTGAGCAGCTGCCCAAACACCAAGTCTCCTGATAAAGTGACAGCAATGAAAACTGAGTCATCCACCCAGGAATTCGCAAACAGGTCGCTAGGAAAGAATCCAGAGGCCTCCGAAGTCCCCAAAGAGATGGGCTTGGTCTAATGGAGTTTCCCAGCCCCTGCTCCGCTCGAGCCCAGTTCCTTTGGGGGTGCGGGCTGTCCTGTGCATTGCAAGGTGCTGGGAGGCATCCCTGGACTCCGCCTTACCAGGGGTCACTATCGCCCTCCACCTCCCAGATGTGGTCCAACTGTCTCCAGAATTTCCCAAGGGACGGGTGTGCCCCTGGTGAGAGTCACTGGGCTAAAGTGACGCATAAACCAGTGGGGACAGGACCCAACCGGCAGTAACCAAGGGGGCAGTTGTCTCCTGCCGCCATCCTCACAAACCACCAGTGGACCGAGCTATACACACATTAGGATAAAACACAGAGGAGCAGGAGCATGGCCACAGGGCAGGGAAACCCTTCTGTTGGACAGAAAATGATTTGGTGGCTTCAGAATGAACACCTTCATGACAAAAGCCACCCAAAGCCAAGTTGAAAGATAAAATGGGACAGCAAGAGGCACTGACTTGCTGTGTGACTTGGGGTGAAGGGGATGCAGTGAGCTCAGCACGGGGCCTTGTATATAGGTGGCACTCCATTATGGCTCCTCTAATCCCATGCGACATCCGGGGACCCTCACCTCAGCCTCCATATGGACCTCTTCCGCCCCTACAGCGACAAGGAGTTCATCCCCCCGACTTTCTTCCTTCTGCTCTGGGAATACTGCCCGGGCACCCCAGTGTTCTGAGGCGGAAGGGGAAATTGGGGAAGCCATCCTGGAAGGGCAGGCACTTGCATCAGCCCAATTTGCAGATGGGGAAACTGAGGCTCAGGGGAACCCGCCCCCCCCCCCCCGCCCTATGGTCAGCCAGCACACGTCCGGAGGCTTGGATTGTCACTTCTTTTTATTGAGTTACAGGTTGAGATGTGCAGATTCTGTGGTGCCAGTCCCCCCATCCCTGCCCCCTTAGACAACAAAAGCTACCAACGCCAGGAAATGGGAGTGGAGGGTCTTGGGTAATGGGGCGCCCCCCCACTCAGGGTCTCTGGATTAAGCATGGCTAACATGTAAGACAATGGGGTGGGTGTCGCCTCAACCATGGCTATGGCCTTGGCTTTGATGGGCAGGGGGCTTCTGTACAAGGTCATCCTCTGCGAGAGTCCCTGTTACGGGCAGGATGGGCCCCAGCTTGGTTGGGCCCCACAGGATGCAAGCGGAGCCTGAGTGTCCACCGGGCTCCCTGGAATGCCACGCCCAGCCAGCCACCCAGGGGCGTCTCCCCAGGCTGACCCCGTCCACCAGAGCTGACGGCCTGCCCAGATATCCTGGCTGCAGACCCAGCAGCGCAGGCTCCTGCTCTTCCTCGAGGCCCTGCTGGCCCAGCAGCTACTTCTTCTCAGGAGGCACAGTCAGCGCACTAGGCGGGGGCTCGGGCTCCCAGAGCAGAAATTCATGGAGCAACGTGTTGACCGTCTCTGGACACTCCAGCATCACCATGTGGCTGCCTTCATCGATGAGCTTCAGGAAGGCCAGAAGCAGGATCTGTGGAGGACCAAGGCTCAGGGCACACACAGCTGGCAGCTCTGTGACTCCCTGCTCACCACCTACGGCTTGCAGCATGGGGAAGACCCTCCTGAAGTCTACCTCATTGCTGCACTTTCATCCAAGGGGGCTGGGGGAAGGGAGCAGAATCCTTGCTGGCCAAGAACTGCTGGCCCAGAGCTATTCCAAGTGCTAAGGATCCTAAGACCCCTTTTTGGCAACCTCTGATCTAAAGACCCCCTGGCCTGCTCTCCCCGAATCTTGTAGCCCACCCCACTCACGGGTCAGTTATACAAATCCCAGCTGCAAAGCATGCAGGGGGATAGTGCATAATCCTAATAGCTGGGCAGGGCAGCCCTACTTTCTGGATTTCTCTCTCTAAGCTCCCATGTCCCTGGGGCTGGAGAACATGGCTGAGTCTCCCTGGGTTGCACAAGGGGGTTTGGGGGCACAGTGGCCAACGTGCTGAGCCCCTACCTCAGCCATGCGCTGGTCTTCTTCCACCGGAACAAACTTGTCATGCATGCCATGGACGAGCAGGACCGGCACAGTGAGCTCCGCATGGTAGACCTCGTCGCCCTCGGGCCAGTACTGGCCGCTCATCATGGCTCGCAGCACGAAGGACGACACGTTGAATGCGTTGCCCTCCTTCAGCAGCTGCTTCTCTTTGGCCCCTTGGCGGGCGAAGCCGGCCCTGGTGGCAGGGACGCGCTGCTGGAGTCTTTGTGCCATGGGCCCGCCAAGGGTGTCCCCCCACGCCAGCCCCAGCCATTCTGGTTTCCCCTCCCACACAACGCAGGGAGGGGCTGGGGTCTGCCAGGAAGCGGGGAGGGGGCGGGTCACTCACTTGAGGAAGCTCCAAGCCAGGCAGGGCGACAGGCAGTGCAGGACACACGTGGGCATGTTGAAGATGGAGCAGAAGCTGGGCTCCAGGGCCGTGGGGCCCCCGCCGTTGATCATGATGACCTTATGCACCAGGTCTGGGTACTCGTGCGCCAGGAACGTACAGAAAGAGACACTGCCCGGTGGGTGGGTGGGGGTTGAAGGGTGGTGGTCAGCAGGGTGCAGACAGTGAGGGGGTTAATGTATACCCTTACCCAGAGGCAGGTCCTTGAAGGCCAAGATTTCCCCGCTAGGGCCCAAGGACATTGAGTGGGGATCAGGGGTGGGTTGGGCATTTGAATGTTCTGAAATTGTGAGGTGTGTGTGTGTTGAGGGTAGAATTTTTTTTTTTTTTTGAGAATTCGAACTTAGAACTTTCCATAGATCCCCAAGGTACCATGACCTCCAAAGGGGTAAGAGTTACTTATTGCCAATTGTTGGGAAGCAACTTGATTAAACAAACATCCCTTCCCACTGGTGTGCCACACCTGCCTGCCTTATGCAAGGTGGAAGGGTCTGCCTGATGAGCCTCCTAGGTCAGCTCCTCATTCCTTCTACGGATGACCACTTTGTTTTTGTAAACTAAATTTACAATTTTGTAAATTTATAAAATATTTTGTAAAATGTTATTGGAACACAGCTTGTGTACAATTATGGCTGCTTTCCTGCTACGGCAGTAGAGTTGTGAAGTTACAGCAGAGACGGATGGATGATTCACAAACCTAAAATATTTACTATCTGGCCCTTTAAGAAAAAGTTTGCCCGTCTCTACTATAAAAGGGGATGATGGGACGGGCAGAAGTTGGGCGGACCTGACTGTGCCAGTGACTCACTGAACGCCCTTGGGCGGGATGCTTAACCCCTGAGCCTCCATCTCCACACCTGTGACAAAGTAACTGCTGACCTCATAGCATTGTTATGGGATCACAGGAGCTAGCACGCGGACGAGTGATCATTTAATTGGATAAATCATTAGCATGAGCATCCACTTTGGGGGTTGTGATCATATAAACCAATAAGATCTGTTACCTCCCGGCCTGGCTTCCTTTCTTTCAGAAGTTTATGTAACATAAACTTTCTTGTCTAATTGCATAGGCTACAACCACTAAAACAATTATTCTCAACCTGGCTGGCTGATGGGATTCTGCCTTTCCTTCTGGATAAAGGAGGGAGTGGTACCATTTGACAGTGACCAGGCACCCAGGCCCAGAGCCTTCCATAGAGTGAACTCTCATCTAAATGCTAGATGGTATTATCTATCACTCCTTCAAGGGAGAGTGACTTACAGCAAACTGCCTTGTAAAGAGAATTTATGGGATTCCAATGAGCCCTCCTTGGGGCCCTTGGGATCTCCAGGGCAAGCAATTTTGAACTTAGTTGAAGACATTGGTTCTCAGCCAGGGATAATTCTGCCCACCAGGGGAACTTTGGCAGCATCTGAAGGCATTTTTTGTCACGATCATCACTAGACCACATGCTAGTGGTATCTAGCATGTAGAGGTCAGAGATGCGGCTAACCATCCTACAGGGCACATGAAAGCCCCTCACAGAAAAGAATTACTGGACCAAAAATGTCCACAGTGAGAAACACTGCTTTGAAACAATGTTAAACAATAGCAGGGTGGTGGGGATCCCTGCCTTGTTGCAGATGTCAATGGGATTTTTCAATGAGGAAAATCAGTGTTTTGTGATGGGGTGTCCAGTCTTTG